AGGAATGCCACAGTAAGTGCCGGACAAAGGAGAGAAAGGCAGGTTTTCTGGGACAGTGACTTCCATATATTTGGCTGCACATCAAAAATCACCCGAGAGGGCTTCCCTGGTGGCGCAATGGTTGGGAGTCCGCCTGCCGATGCAGGGGACACGGGTTTGTGCCCCCGTCCGGGAGGATCCCGCATGCCGCGGAGCGGCTGGGCCCGTGAGCCATGGCCGCTGGGCCTGCGCGTCCGGAGCCTGTGCTCCGCAGCGGGAGAGGCCACAACGGTGAGAAGCCCAAGTACCGCAAAAAAAAAAAAAAAAAAATCACCCGGGATGTTTAAAATGCAGATTCTCAAATCCCCCTAGGAATAGGAAACTAATTTTGTAAGCTCCTGTAGTGACTGTCAGAATCAGTTAGAATTGGGTAAACCAAGAGGAACTGCAGGGTAGAAGCAAAGAGAACAGAAAAGGGGAAATGGCTAAAAGAGAAGAAGAGGTAGAACTAACAGAAAATACCAACTATTGACATAGGGGCCAATGGAAAAGAAGAACCAGAAGGTACCTTAGGTCTAAAAGAATAGGAAGATTTAAGAAGGGGCAACTGTTTGCAGGAAAAGACACTGGGGTCGGACATTCTGGGGTTGAGTTCCTTATTGGGTAGGAAATTTTGTTCTAGAAATTCAGGAAAATTAACTTCATATTTAAACATATACTATTTGCTGACACCCCTTCTAGGGTTGCTATGTACCGCGCTTAGCCGTGTTTTATTAATTAGCTTTGGGAGTGTGCATCTCTCTCCTGAAATACATGAAGGACATATAATATATATAAGGCAGAGTGCTAGAAACTTAAGAAGAACTCGATAAATATTCACTGAATAATAAAAGTGGAAGTCTAGAAAAAAGTTGAAGATTTTAGTCTTTTTTTTTTTTAAAGGAAAAAAAAATCTTTTTTTTAAGATGTCATGATTCTTACCTTTGCAGCCAAGGCTTTTAAACTGTCGAGGAATCTTTGCCAGAAATCCTTGAAGAGCGGGCGGTCAATTTTCTTCAGGCTCTCTTTGGTGCTGGCGTCCACACTGACGTATAGCTGGGTAACTGGTTTGAGGTTCCTTGGTAATTTAAAATTAAAAAAACAACAATAGAAGAAGAAAATTATGCCTAAGTCGGGTTTTTCATGATGTTAAATTTACAATCTGTAATAGATGTGATGATTAAACATTTCACTGGGGTCTAGAGGGTTCTGCTTCTCCCAGAAGATTGAAGCCATGATTTTAATGTGACAGAACGGGATGCCACTGGTTATTTTTTTAAATGACTGGACACCATCCCTAATAAACTGAAAACAATTGATTAATTAAAATTAGTCTCTCTTCAAACACTACATTTTAGCAGAAAATAAAACAAGATCAGGCTTTAGGTCTGGCACCATCAGCTCAGCACAATTACAAGGGGTTCTCAGACCAAAGTTTCTTCATAAACTCTGCCACTTAAGACTTCTACAGGGGTCTGTGCTGACGGGCCACCTCCCATCATCAATTTGCTGATGGATGTTTTCTAAGGAACAAGAACAAGGCTTCTTTGAAGGGCACAGAGCCACACCAATGCCTCACCTATGCCTCTGAGAGCAGGAGTGGGTTTAAAGTCAAGCCCTGTGTGGGGGAACAATGACCCGTTCAGGGAGCCATAAGCAATGCAGAGCTAGAAAAAGAGCAGCCAAGCACTTACAAAACAGCACAACCCAAAAGAAAAATGTATGTTGTACATTCTTATCTTTCTTTGCCTTCTTAATCCGCATCCATGAGTACCACTCATTCTCCACTTCGCTCAAATTCACTGACTCATTTCACAATGTCATCACCTGCCAGATTTCTTGCCAGTTATGTTTTAAGCCCAGATTGGACTTTTTCCAGAGCCTCTCTGTTCTCCCTTCAAATAGGTCTCATAGTTCACTCTCTTCAATGAATTTCGAAGGAGAAAGAAATTCCCCCTTAATAATCCTCTGATCAAATTCTCCCATTACTAATTTGCTATAACTATTCCATAATTTGTATTTACCCCTAGAATGTTATTTATACATTTTTTGTTTCAAAGTCTAGGCACTTTTAAAAACTGCCACATAATTCACATGCCATAACATTCACCATCAAAGTGGTTTATGAGCTTTTTATATCCATCAGTACTGGCCTTACCAATCTTTGAGTGGAAGACCTTGAAGGACAGGAGCTCTATTTCTCTTTTTATCCAGTCATACAGGTAGACACTTCAAGCTACTTTTTAGTGGACACTGTTGACTTCAGCTGACAGAACTTTTAAGGAAATGTAGGCCAAACAAATGCTTGTAATCATCTGGCTTAGTGACATATGGAAAAATCAGAAGGGCCTAAACCCAAAGTTGTTAAAAGTGGAGAAGCTCTGACCAAAGTTAGGAAAGAATGATTAAAACACTGGCAGACTCTCATTGCTTTAATCCCTCTCCAATACTGATATAACGGAATCCTTAAAAGTTCAATAATGTGTCACTACTGAGCAAAGGACATCAATTACTGGAAATGCAAAACAACAGCATACTGTAATGGCAGCATTCTGTCTCACCACCCCTTTTGCTGGGGGCCTCTTTAATAACAGACAAGCTACTTTAACTGGATTTTATGTTTTACAAAAATAAAAAGGATTGTCTTAATGAATACGGCTGGCTATCAGCGTCTGATACTCACAGGACTTTGTCATAAAGCTGCCTGATGCAAAATGGGAACTGGCCTCACCTTTTCACTACACCTCCGTAACTAGTTCAAGAGTATGAACAGGAAATTCCGAAGGCCATAGCTGTCTTACAAACCACCACCATTTTGCAAAAAAAAAAAAAAAAAAAAGGTAGTCCTGGACATTGACACTAGCAATAAGGAATTTTTGACATTACTAAATGTCTCAGGTGCTACAATCAGGAATTTTATAGCTCTTTGGCCAGGGATCAGAGGAAGAATGGAAGAGAGGAAAACCCCAAGGAATTGCAGAGCTCATTCCTAAGGGGCTCAAAAGGAGTAAAAGGACACTGGAGAGATTTTCTGAGCTTCAGGGATCTTATGCCTGCCTGCTGCTGGTCTCTGTTCCCCGTGACAGGTGATGAGGCTCCAAGCACAAGCATCTGCCTGTCTCCATTCTATTCAGAGATAGGATCATTTTAGTTGTAACCTTAAAACCATCATAATAATTCCTGTGTCTCAGAATCTCACATTGCTGCTGAGAACAATTAAAAAGGACTATACAGTAAAAGGGATATATAACTCTGAGCCCAATCCCCAGTGAAAATACCCTATGAATCTTGATATGATTTTCGTGGTGACCCTTCATCCTGCTAATTTTAAATCTCTGAGTTATGAATGATCATATATAGAAAAACACTGCAATTGAACATAAAAATCCCTCTCCCTTCTTCCCTTTCTGTAGAGATTAGGCCTCATTATACCCAGAATAATCAATAATCATATCAAGATCCTACCTAGAATGAAATCTCCTCATCTCTACAGAAAGGAAAAAAGGGAGAGAGATTTATGTTTGTAAGAAATCTAGAGGCTTCAACAGTAACTTTCATGCTCCTATTGGACAAAAAAATAACCGAAGTGACCCAAATATCCAATACTTATATGTGAAATCTATCCAAAAAAGGGACAGTCTCTATTAGCTGTTTCCTTCCCTGTGTTATGGGCCACAGTCTCTTGTTTCTGTGTCTAGTTCATGTTTTTTTTTTTTTACGAAAGCTGAACATTTTAAATAATATTATTTGGCAATTCTAAATCAGGTATCTCCCAACCCAGGGATGTTTTTTTCTTTTCTTTTCTGTCTGCTTGCTGTTCTTGTTGTTACTGAACTAATTTGGTGAATTCTGTATTCTTGGTTGTGTTTAACCACTAAAATCCCTGTTTGATTAGCTTAGTGGTCAGGCAAGGATTAGACAGAGATATCCTTAAATGACTTCAATCAGTAAGTCTCCTAGCCTTTGCTGAGGGGCTCTATGTGTGTATATTAGGGCACGCCTTCGATGTCCAGGCAGGCATTTGACAACTGTGCCTTAGCTTTCACTGTCTACCTGCTCAAGACACCAATATATCGAGTGGAGGTGGGCATATAGGGCTTTTTCAAGTCTTCCCTGGCATACCCACAGCCCTGCCCGTGTACATGGTCTTCTAGATTTCCAGGAACATGCTGGAGCTTCTCAAAGCCCCCTACAAACATCTCATTCCCTGGCTTTTCCTTTTAAGTATTTGGTTAGCCTCCTGTTTGCCCCAAGGGTTACTGCTGCCTCAGGCAGCTGTGAAGTTAAACAATTACTGATAATTGTTTATGAGAAAAACCGGAGAGAAAGGCTTTCAGTGCTGGACAAACTCTGAGTCACTTCTAACAAACACAACCCCTGTGAGTGAGAGTTTCCAGGGAACTGCCACACATACCATATAATGACAGTTCTCCAGGAATGGGACTTTGAAAGAGTTCCAACTCTGTTTTGTCCCTTCCCCTGGCTGCCAGGCTACTGGTTTTTACCACGACTGTAGGCTACTAGTTTGCAGAGCTGGAGAAGTTGGAATGGAATAAGGACATGTTAATACATCACAAAGCTTACAGTTCATATTGCAATTCAGCTAATTTTCTGAGGAACAGTGGGTTTCCACCACAGCCTACTTTAACCCATTTCTAAGCTAAGTTTCAATCCTGAGCCTTAAAAGACAAATCTTATTTTAATTTAACTTAGTTGTTTCTTGCCTCCTCTTTACTGTACAGAGCCTGGATCCAAAGAAAAAGGGCCATCCCTGTACCCACACATACCCCTCAACAAAAGCCTTCAGTTTCTACTTTAGCCACTGGCTTCTCAGAATCCAAAATTCAAATATTCTAGTGTACTGTTGCAAGAAGTCTTGGGAGAAAAAAAGACCATTGCAGTATTCAAAATATTTCTGTATTGTTAATGCATATCATAGAAACACTCTTTTTTCTTTTTTTCTTTTGGCCGCGCCATGCAGCTTGCAGGATTTTAGCTTCCCCGAACCAGGGAGTGAACCCAGGCCCCCAGCAGTGGAAGCATGGAGTCCTCACCATTGGACCACCAGGAAATTCCCTAGAAATACTTTTTTGACATGAGAATAAAAATACTGTTTACTGGGGGCAAAAAAACGTTCCTCAGATTGTTGCATACCTCTGGTTAAGAATTTAATTCTGACAATTTTTGCTGGTATTCTCACTGTTTTTATAGAAGAGTAGGTTTTGAAGGTCTGTGCTCTGCTATTCCTAATAACCAACAAACAAGTTTTGTTTTTATTTCCATCACAATTCATCACAATATTTCCTATGTCCACTGTGATTTCTTCTCTGACCCATAAGCAAATGAAAAGTGCATTGCTTAAATTATAAGCATGTTGGAATATTCTAGTTATCTTTTTGTACTGATTTACAGTTTAATTGCATTGTGTTCACATATCATGATCTAAATGATTGCAATGCTTTCTTGTAACTTGCTATAATGCCCAGCATATAGCCATTTGGTAATTTTTCTGAGAGCAAGTTCTGTGCTCTTAAAAGGAATTTATATTCCAAAGTTTCTCAATTCAATACTCTATTTCTGTAATACACGCTAAATTTGTTAATTTAGTTGTTCAAATCTTCACTGTTATTCCTGATTTTGATTTGCCTGTTTTATCAGTTTGAGAGAAATGTGTTAAAAACTTACTATTTCTCCTTATAGTTCTGTCAATTTTGAGATTATGTTACTGATTGTTGAAAAATTTTGAATTATTATATTGTTTTATGTTCCTGGTGGGTTTAATATTTTATTATTAAGAAATGTTGCATCTTATCTCAAGTAATGGTTCTTGCCTTAAAGTATACTTGGCCAATATTACTTAGCCTACCTTTCCAAGGTGCTTTTCATGTATTATCTCATACACTAACAATGCCACTATAAGGTAGTCATTATTATTGCAATCATTTTACAGATGAGGAAACTGGGCACTGAGAAGTTATCTTCCCAGTGTCAGAAAGACAGCAAGAGATACAGTCAAGATTCAAACCCAGGTCTCTTCTAGACAGAGCACAAGCTCTTCATCACTTCACTGTGCTGCCT